TGGATTCGAGTGTCACCCAAAGGAACGGTGTACGGCCAGATTCAGGGAGAGAAGGAAAAGGTCGATGAGATGTAAGTAGCCCACCCGAACCAGTTTTGCATCAATACTCTAATTGCTTGCTTGCAGGGCGCTGTGGCTTCGCCTGCAAGGTTCTCCCAACTCCAAGATTCAGGCGTGCGAATTCAAGAACTGGCAAATCATCGACAGTTGCGATTTCCGAAACTTCAATATTCGCTACTGAGAAAAAAGAAAGAAAGAGCTCTCTATTCTGCAATTTGTGCACTAATGGACGACCAACACAAAGTTTCTTGTAGAATTAATGGCAGCGGCCACTTTTGCCCGAATTCTGCCGCTCACCGCATCTCCACAACTCGATATATCCAAAGATAGCACAGTAACCTCATAAATTACTTATTATTCTTCTTATTTACAGAACAGAAAAGAAAGAGGACGGTTATGTTTCCCATATGTGCGCATCGGTGCGCGAAGGCCGAGAAAAAGTACTCGGTGAGAGAAAAAGAATAAGAATAAAGATCAACAATGGGCAACCAAAGAAGTACAGAAACGGTTCCCTCTTTCACTTTCCCTCTTTTTCATCAGCACAAACACATACACACCAAGTGTTGTTTATTGTTTGTCGAATTTTGCAGAGTATTTTTCTTTGGAAACGAAGAAGGAGAAAAAAGAATCGGTTTCACAGCTTACGGTGCTCCAGACTGTAGGAGAGCTGCATCAGCCGTTTCTGATTGTCGATGACGCGAATGTAGCTCTCAAAGTAGTCCTGCAAACTGACGGGCGAGCTGAGCTTCTTCACCGACAGATTGACGGGCGACTCCAGCTGAAAGGAGCCCGACTTGCACTCCTGAATCATGCGCAGCGTTTGCCCGAGAAGGTGCTGAAAAGAAAAAGATGAATAAGCCACTTTTTCATTCTTTAAGCACTTACCATCTTCTCAAAGTTGACCAGCCCCTGGTCGACAAAGGTTTTGTTGCCCTCGTGCACCATGGTCATATCCTTGATGAGCAGCGGAACAAAGGGAATCAGCGGCGGCGTGAACTTGGAGAGGATCACCCGGTAGCGGCGGTAGTTTCGACTCGAATCAATTAGACTTTCGTACTGCGTGAAGATTCGTTTCAGCTTACTGTGCAGCCGCTCCCAGGTCTGCGTCAGCCGACTGACTGCCACATTGCTCAGGCCAATTATAATGGCAAAAAAGGCATTCAGGTTCTTGTACTCCTTACAGTAGCCGGCAATCTTGATGAACTTCTTCAGAATGGAGACCCGTCGAGAGAGGGACTTCTCGAGGAGCACCTCGGTGATCACCCAGTACTGCAGCTCGTTGAAGTGCCGCCGAAAAAGGTCCAGATTGGAGGTGATGTCGTTGAAGTTGTGCCGCCCGAAGACGTGGTAGATAAACTCGTAGGGGTGAATGTTGAAGAAGAGCTTCCAGCTGTAGCTGCTCAGGTAGAAGGCAATCTCCTGCGAGTTGAAGCTCTCCAGGGTGTTGATCGATCCGGTGGAGGGGCCCTCCTGTTCGGGGAGGATGGTCAGCGCATCGAGGTGGTCGACGTGCGAGATGAAGATGCGACCGTTCAGGGACAAAGTGGTGGGAATGTTCATTTCTGTTTCGTTAAAAACGATTCTCTCTGAAAAGTTGGTTGTTTGTTAAATTAGGAGTTTTTTGTCAAAACCGGAACAGATCTTACCATTGTCGGACTTGAGCTCGACCAGCATGTAGTCGTTGGTGTTGTCCAGATTCAGCTTTTCCACCGCCTGGTCTTTGATGATGTCCACCTTGGTGTTCATCGTCATCTTCAGCGTCGTGTAGGTGTGGTCGGCGCAGTAGACGCGACAGATGACTGTTGTGAGGAGAGTGAGTTTGGGCTAACAATAAAATCAGTTCCACCACAGCTTACTTTCATCAAAGTCCTTAATGGCCGTCATCTTGGCGCTCTTCTCCTGATTCGCCTCAATGTTTGCCAGCAGATTCTCATTGATGTTTGACATGCGTCGCACTGAGTTGGAGTTGTCCGCTTTCCAAACAAAGATGCCGCGCATCTCCAGGTTTCGATCGAATCTAGAAGTTTTTGTGTTTTTGTTCAATGTATGCTCAAGTTAAAACTTGTTCCAAACTTACGTCGCTTTAGCCTCCTTGATGTTTCTCAACGAAGAGAGCTCTCCCTCAAAGCTGTTGCCGTACTTTGCGTTGTCCTTCTCCAGCAGCTCCGTCAGCTCGTCGACAAAGGTCCAGACGAGCTTGTTATTAAGGAAAGCGTCTCCGGAGATCTTGTACCAGAGAATGACAAAGCGAACTACCCGCTTCTTGTTGCCAATGATGTAGCTCTCCATCTGGCGAAAGTTGAGCTCGTCAATCTTGTAGTGCCGCACCAGCAGGTAGGTCATTTGCTTCCAACTAATGAAAATGGGAAAAGTAAGCAAAAAGTCCTCAAAGAGGCTCTCCTTGTTGAACTGCTCCTCGTAGTTGTGGCTGTTCATGCGCGTCTCCAGCAGGTGCTCCAGAACCTTCTCCGCTGTGCCCGCCATGACCTTGTACTTGAAGTAGAGCGAGGAGTTCTCGTCCTTAAGCTGCTTGAGGGACATCTTCTGGAGGATGAGCACCTCCTTGCCGTGCTCTTTCAAACGGACGGTGTTCGCCTCGTTGTCCTTCAGAATGCGGTCAAAGTGGACCTTGTCGACACGCAGAAACTGACAGTCCGGCTCGTTGGTGATGATGGTCGCCGCTCGGGGCGCCTCATTGACCAGCGCCAGCTTGCCAAAGTCGTCGCCCTCGTGCAGTGTGCAAACGATGCCCTTCGAGGCGATGACCACTGAGACGCTGCCCTTGAGGATGATGTACCAGCCTGAAGTGCCTCGGTCTCCCTGTTTAAATACTGTTGTAGAGAAATACAAATGAATGAAAATGGTTTAGCTTTTGAGCAAAAAACTTACATGTGGTAGACTTCTCCTTGTGCGCCTCAAAAGCAATCACCGCCGAGAGTTCCTTCTTGACGGTGTTGGACAGATGGGAGAAGGCCTTGATGTTCATGATGTCCTCGTACACCAGGTCAATGTCATCCTCGGTACGATTTTCAGGTCTGCAGATGCAAAATGTTGGTGAGCGAATTGAAGTTTACCGTTTTCTGTGGTAAACAATAACAACAACAACAACAACAACAACAAATGACTTACTTTTTCCGCAGAATCTGCCGCAGCGTCGCCTCTGGTGCCATTTGAAGCAGATATGAAAGATTCTCAAAGAGTGCATCAATCAGACTGCCCTCATCAGGAGGGACGGTCTGTCGGAAGTAGGCCATCAGCGACTGTGCCTGGCCGTCCTCGGCGTCGTCAAAGCAGAATCGGTAGAAGGCGTACCGGTCCTGGAAACAATCCTCCTCTTGTGATGAAGTAGAAGACTGCGGAAAGACCGCGTAGATGACCTTGTTCTCGTAGAGAACCTGGTACACTGACTCGGCCTGTTTCCGCGAGCGGACCTTCACGTGACTGGAGGACATGGTGCTGTTCATCAGCCAGTCAGTCAGCTCGGAACCGATGAAGCACCGGTCGAAGGTGGTCGCCGCCGAGGGATGCTTCCGGTCACGGATCAGGTGGGGCGCCGTCTGGTCGATGGTGAGGCGGATGATCCAGCCGATGTGCATCAGCTTCATGATCTAGGGATTCGCAATGGATAAGTAAGTACTTTTGATCAAAATAGGGCAAAAACGTTGTTTACATTGTCTGGCACTTGCAGCTCGCCCAGGCCTTGTCGTTCCTCTCCGACCACCTGAATCACTGGCGTTGACTGATCAGGATTTGGCGGCTGCTGTTGTTGTTGCTGCTTCTGATTTGGAAGGTTCCCACCTGGGGCACCCGAAGCCGCCGCTGCTGCTGCTGCCGCTGCCTTTGCCGCGGCCATCGCCGCCGAGCTGCTGACCACGCCCGCCCCCTCCAGCTCCACCGGTTTGCTGTTCACCTGAATCTGCGTGGTAGTAGTGTCACCAAAAGCCGCGGCGACACTGGCCACAGAAAAGGGCGAAGTGACGATCTCCTCCATGTAGTGGCTGCTTCGCTGCCAGATGTCTTGGAAGGCAGGTTTGGGCACTCGCAGCAGCGTACAGGACTCATTGGAGATGACACTAACGGAGTGATAGCCATCGTTAAGGACGCACTCGCCGAATGCGGTGCCCGAGCAGAGGGTGCACACATTGACGACGTCCTTGCGCTTGCCAGTGTGCGAAATCTGCACGTCCAGGGAGCCGTAGATGAGGGCGTACCAGTTCAACGCCTCCTCCCCCTGTTTGTACACTGAACAAAAGAAAGTTGTTGTTTTGGTTAAAAAAAAGCTAGCAGCTTTTTACTCACAGACGACGCCCTTCTCAATGTGCTCGATGATGGCGACGAAACACAGCTGCTGAATGACCGACGGGTGAACGCGACGGAAGAGCTTGAACGCCTTCAGTTTTTTGTAGATGATCTCCAGGTCCTCATCGGTGCGCTCGCTAGCTCTAACAGTGAAACAATAAAGTTGTTGTGTCCTTTTAGCTTGATAATATCAACAAAACCTAAACCACCACTTACACCTTATCCAGTGACTTGATCCATTCAGCCAACATGGCGTTCTTCTAGTCTTCTTTTGACTGTTATTATGTTGTGATGTACAGTGAGTGTGTGCTGCTGCATCACTAAGAAGCTGGTGGGATGATGCTTCTGTAGTGTGCGTGTGTGGTAGCATTTCGCGTTAGGTGAAGGCATTTCCCGGTGCTATGTAGGACTGCTCACCTGATGTGCTCGACATTTGTTAGGTCACTACTGTACACAGCTGGAAATGTGTTTGTGTGTGTGTCAGGCCACTGGTGCTATACAGTTTCCTTGGCAGAGGCTGCCGAGCATGTCTCTTTGGAGCGCCAATACACTCACTGCAGTTTAGCATGTTTGTAATAATTCACCGATAACAAATTCATTTCATTAGGACATTAATGAGAACAAGTTTTCTTTATTCAACTCTAAGGTTTATTGACAATTCCAGCAAAAAGAGTCAACTGCAGACGATTGTCACGGATGGCAAATAGAAAGGGCCGATTGAACTCGACAGTGAGCGGCTTTCTAATTTGGCCAGAAACCGCTACAAAACCAACGGCTGTCGCCGCTGCTGCCTTTGATCCCTCTTCATTAACTTCTATAAAAGTTTTTTGTAGAATTTCAGAAACTTTTATTATTCGTTCACTGTCCATCATTAGACTGAAATTAGCCTTCTCACAATCAAATGCTGCTCTAATGCCCATCGACTGTAGTTCCTGCACTGGTTCTACAGAAGACTCAATTTTGAAGCGAGGCAGCACCAGAATGAGTTGTTGGGAGCGCAAACTTTCATAGCCGTTTTGATTTGAGTTTCGAGATTTGATCGTTTTAGAGAAAATAGAGCTGATTGAGTGCTGCATCTCTTCCTTCTCTTCCTTAGGCAAAAAAGCAGCATGCTCTGCGAGTTACCTTCGTAAGGCAACTCCAACAGCTGGCCCTCAGTAGAAGAGGTGTACTTAAACCAGCCTGACTTGCTCATCATCGGCACTTTGACTTTTGAATTGGCACTGTAGGTAAATTCCTTATCTGCAGTAAGTTGTTTCTTAAACGGGTTTGCCCAAACTCCCTTGAAGTACAGGGCATTGAGAAGGATCATAACGGTGTTAGATAGGTCAGTCTTTTCATCCAATAGTTTGGGTATTTTTCCGTGCGTATGTTCATTAGCCCAGTTGTTGATGGTTGTAGCTGCCTCTGACAAATTTACACTAAAGATGGTTGCACTAAAGTCGTTTTCCACAGTGTTCTGGTAGGCGGTCAGAAGAGCAAATTGGTCAATCAGAGCAGCTGCATTTGCCAGTTGGAAAACATTTCTGGTAAATAAAGTGGAAAACCTTAGGTTTTGGAGAAGAATTCGGTAGGCACTGCTGAGCTGGGTCACGCTAACGTCGGCATCAAATCTAAAAAGAAGGTTGAAAAAATGTTGTCAAATATAATCAGGTGTTTAAAGTGTTTCAGTTGTCTCTCACTTCTCACTTACCCTAGTGTGCGCTTAATTTCCTCACGCGTGTCACTGATGGCACCGGTCATGGCCATTGTGAGAACAGTGCCCAGGCTGAAGGGGGAAATGAGCAGATTCATCGGTTTGCCGGTTATTCGTCGCATGGATCGCTCTTTCACCTCAAGTCGATGCAGCAGCTGGTAGCCAAAGTCATCATTGGCACGGGCAATGTCAGGAAGATTTTGCGAGCCCACAAAAACACTGATGGTGNGTCACGCTAACGTCGGCATCAAATCTAAAAAGAAGGTTGAAAAAATGTTGTCAAATATAATCAGGTGTTTAAAGTGTTTCAGTTGTCTCTCACTTCTCACTTACCCTAGTGTGCGCTTAATTTCCTCACGCGTGTCACTGATGGCACCGGTCATGGCCATTGTGAGAACAGTGCCCAGGCTGAAGGGGGAAATGAGCAGATTCATCGGTTTGCCGGTTATTCGTCGCATGGATCGCTCTTTCACCTCAAGTCGATGCAGCAGCTGGTAGCCAAAGTCATCATTGGCACGGGCAATGTCAGGAAGATTTTGCGAGCCCACAAAAACACTGATGGTGACAACGGTGGCGGCTACCAAATTTGAAACGAAAAACTGGCCCATCGTTTCACCAGTCAATTTTAGCAGCTTCACAAAAACACCTGAAAGTTTTCAGTGATCGTTAAAAGTGTTCACTGTGGGCACATGGATTTCACGTGGACCACGTGGTTATTGTTAGGTCGGCTTTTCAGAGAGTTAGTAAGCTAGCGCTGTACCAAGGAATACTCAGCCAAAGAATTCCCTGTGTCCTTAATGAGGACGCTGGGGCACTGCTTGCAAAACAAGTGATGGGTCTCAAGGGACGAGTTTTTATTTGACTGCCAACCAAAACACACGCACATGCACATGCACAGTCTTTCACTTTACAGGTCAATTTGTGGTGGGCACAACTAGTGACGTGAGACAGCCCCAGCCCCAGCAGAAGCAGCACTCGCTGGGGCCTTCTTCTTATTCTGCTTGCCCTTTCTACTATTGAGGCTGTTGTTACTGCGGCTGCTGGCACTTCGAGACTTGNAAGAATTCCCTGTGTCCTTAATGAGGACGCTGGGGCACTGCTTGCAAAACAAGTGATGGGTCTCAAGGGACGAGTTTTTATTTGACTGCCAACCAAAACACACGCACATGCACATGCACAGTCTTTCACTTTACAGGTCAATTTGTGGTGGGCACAACTAGTGACGTGAGACAGCCCCAGCCCCAGCAGAAGCAGCACTCGCTGGGGCCTTCTTCTTATTCTGCTTGCCCTTTCTACTATTGAGGCTGTTGTTACTGCGGCTGCTGGCACTTCGAGACTTGGGCGCAGAAGCAGCGGACTTTTTGGCATTGCCGGCGGCAGCAGAGGAATTCAGTGGAGTTGCACGTTGACGACTGTTGGGACGACTGTTGAGTCCCAGCACTGCCGACACCACTTTTCCACTACCACCACCACCACCAGTCGAGGGACTTCTCCCCTTGGCGCCGGCAGACAACGGGTGAAGACCACCACGGCCAGCTGAAGACTGCACCGACTGCATTGTAGTTTTGGGTCGTTTTGGAGAGCAAGCCGCCGCTGCAGCCGTCTTCCGCTTTGAACCAATTGCACACGTCTTGGGCGCCAGCTTGGCGGCACTGTTGGCTTGAATACTGTTGAAAATGCTGGCATCCAGGTCGCTCTCGGTTGGCTCGTCGATGACCACGTCCAAGTAGATCTTCGAGTCCATGTTGCCAAAACGAGGGTCCAGCAGGGAAGGCGGTCCCGGTGTCAGCCCTGTACTCAGTGAGCGATTAGCGGCGGAGACTGCAGTGGACGAGGTCGAAACATTGCTACCTCCTCCCGCGGGCAATTTGCTGCTGGTCGCTGCTGATCCTCCGCCCACCGAAGGACTGACAGGGTCAATAGAGATGGCGGCATTCTTGATGGTCTTTCTCTCGCCCTGCTCGCCCTGAAGTTGCTGCTGCTGCTGATGTGGTTCACCGCATCCACTACCACCACCATCACCACCATCGCCGTCTCCGAAGATACTTTTGACAACGTTAAAACGGACCAGCAGGTAGTAGATGCCACAAATGACGGCGACGAGAAGGATGACTCCAAAGACGATGGGCAGGATAATCATCAGCGAAGAAGAGCCTTCAGTCGTTGAGTTTGGCTTAGAAAGTTTGATAGCGTAGGCAGTTTTCATTGTTTCTGTTGTCGTCAAAAATGTAAAATGTGGTGAAATGTCAGCAGAAGTGCTGTTGAGTACGTAAGTTAAAAACCCTTTGTTGTGCTGAAATTCGAATTTTTCAAAATGTCTCACTAAAGTGACCCGACTAAAGTGACAAAAAACAGTCATCCATAGAGCACTAAAGGCATTCCCAACGGTGAATTGTGTAGCATCATTGTGATCATTTTGATTTTGAACAGCTGCCAGCACTGAACTGATCCCCACTCTGATCATCAAAGATGAGCAAGGAGACCAACACCAGCAGCACCATCCCTTCCACCTCACCCAGCAAGTCAACCAACACGCCCAACAGCTCGCCCTGCAAAGTGGTCTCTAGCAGCAAAAGCAACACCGGCTGCGGCGGTGGCAAGAACAATGCACCGGCCGCCCTGCAGAGTGCCGCCCTCATTTGCAAGGAAAGCCCGGGCAAGTCGCCGGGCAAGTACAGCGCCAGCGTCAGCAGCAGCAGCAGCCTGCAGTCTTCGGACAGCGCCAGCGGCCGCTCGGTGGAGTGGCTGGTGAAGACGCCCTCCGTGGACCGCCACCCGGCGCCCTACTCCGAGGAGACAAAGCGCCAGATTCCCGCCATCAAGGCGCTGGTCGCCCAGCAGGAAGCGGAGACGGCCGCCAAGGAGAAAGCCGGCGGAGGATCTCCAGTGGGAACAACCGCCGGAGCCACCGCCCCCGCCTCTACCGAGGTCCTTCCGCAGGTGAGCACCACTTTTGCCCAGGACATGGTCTACATTCAGGAGCAGATTCGCAAAGGCCGCGAGGAGTGGGAGCGCCAGGAAGCAGAGCGAAAGGCCGCAAAGAAGGCAAAGAAGGCGGCGAAGAAGGCGGCCAAGGAGAAGGAGAATCAGGTGCTGGGAAAAGGCGGAGGAGGTGGTGGTACCTGCGGAGGCTCTCCCCTTGATGATCGTCAGGCGAAGAAACCAAACTGAACTGCATTTTGTTTGCATTGGTTGAGCTGCCTTCTCTGTCTTCTTTGTCTGCACAGCCTGCTTCTGCCTTTGCTGATTGCTGCTCTTAACCTTTCTGCCACTAAATTGAGCACCAATTACTATTTTGTTTTCTTGTACTTTTGCTTTCTTTCTTTGTGCAGCACAGTAAAATCTCTAAAAGTAAGAGATTGTTTTGTAGGTGTTTTCACTGTATTGACAAGCCAGCACTCTTTAGCCACACAGGTGATTACAATAGGGACAGAAAACTGACTAAAACCAGTTTGAAAAACGACAGCAAAATCAACCGCTTTACAATAT